ATGTGTAAATCAGTAATGACGCGAGTAAAAAGCAGCATCTCCCTCCTCAGACGCGACCCGCACGTCTAAACCGAAGCCACTTCTAGACCCACAGCGAGATGTCACAAATAAGGCATCCATCTTTTCCCCCCTCGATCAATACCTACAGTGCACCTAATTACTGCTTGAAAAGCGTCTTGATTGAGCAGCAGAACATTTTCATTTCAGCAGAATTTGTTCTCCTGCTCTAATGCGGACTGGTAACCTACTTCGGTGCATCATTAGCTCCCACTTCAAGCTGCAAGCCCTGAGTGGTAGAGAGAGACTGAGAGAGAGAGAGAGAGAGAGAGAGAGAGAGAGAGAGGAGAGTGCAAACCTCTGCATCTCTGAGCCTCTCAATAAAGGAGTAAAGTTTCCTCTGGAGCGCCGGTTCGGGCCGGCGGCCAGAGCTCCCGGTTCTGCAGGGAGCTGCTGCGCTCGCATTGTTTCCTGCACACGCTGATCGGGACGAGCAGTTACTGAGGCTTAAAAGCTTATGCTGGCTTTGGGACCACAGCTTTGTTAATAATTTCTTCTTTTTTTCTGTGGTAATTGCCCAAACTCATACGAACTCCGCAGTGCTGCAAAAAACAAAGGAGTCTGTGACAGAAATGAGGAAGCAGTAAACAAACAACTAGAGTGCAGCATGTTGTCTCTATCGATGGTGATGACATCACTAAAGTAACAGATCAGATCTGCGAACGTCGGTTTAACCTGAATCTGACGAATCTTCGAATCTTACACTTCGATCTTGTTTTCACTGTAAAATATATTTGGATGGCCTGGATGTCGGACCGGTCTTCGCACTCCTCGTCTGACTTGTTTGTACAGAATGTCCCTGTGTTCCCAGGTTGGTTCGTATAAAGATAACACCCTCGTGGTAATCAGCCAGAGCGATCCCGGCCCTTCAAAGAACGAGTCCTCTGTGCCGGGATTACGAGCAGCCCGCCGCCTGACACCCGGAGGAAACGTCCTCTAGAGCGCATTAAGGTGCTTTATTGCCTCGTTAGGAGTCCACGCTGATTGAGACAAACAAGCACGGGCACTGGAGCGGACGCGAGCGCCGCCCTGCACTTACGGTGACCTCTGACCGGCCTCCGTCCGCCCGGGGTGCTGGCGGGAGGCGGTGACGGTGTCCAACCACACTTTGGTATTTTTTCGATATTTACTAAAACTCAATTGAATGTAAAACACATCACATGGACAAAACTGTCAAATACAAGCAGGATGGGCGTCAACTCGCTTGATGGTTGTATTGGGTAAAGCCTTTGAGACAGTCGTGGGCGTCACTATCACCACCCCCCCCCCTCAAAGCTGTTAACCTTGGATGAACCCTGTATGTCCGTCACAGCGGCTGAACTTGATCAATATTGCTGCGCTCACAGATAACGTTGGGAAAGCCGATATTCAAAACATTCCAGAGTTTGCCTTACCTTCATATCAGGGGGGCGCCCCTAAGAAATGTGCCCACGTGGCGCTGGCACCACTGCTAGTCGACCGCTAACACTGTAGCCGCTCACCATAGAGGGTCAAAGACACATTTGTTTTTGTCTCGTCTCTGCTAATATGAGTTTTGGTAGGACTTTTATTTTCCCAAAAACTTAACAACGTCCGGCCATGACGAAAATCCAAACGCTGTCACCTTTCACAACAAAGAGACACGGGAATTTCTCGCAAAAAGCCGCAAATTTCCCATATCTGTGTAATTTTGCAGCATCAATATGTTTTTAGTAACACTGAATGTGCAACACGTAGTTTTTCCAACCGTTTGAACGATATCAAGCCTTTTGCGGCTCATTTTGGGGGTTTCTACCTGGAGCTTTAAAACGTAGATTCACTCTCCCGGCTCGACCCGCCCAGCAGAGAAGACCACTTAGGTCAGAAGAAAAGGGTTTCGGATATTTCTCCCAGATCAGACAGGGTCGTGAAGGCGGAGTCTCGCCAGCTTAGTGCAGATTGCACCATTCCGCTCCCATATTGTGGCGTTAATAGGAAACATATCACGAGGTTCAATCAAAAGAGGCCGAGAGGCAGAACGATCGAGAGCCGAGAGGAAGAAGCAACGGAAAACCGAGAGAGTTATTGAAGCAAAAAAGAGAGAGAGAAAGCAGAGAAAGGAACTAATTGATGATAAAGGAGCGGAGTACCCGAGGGAGGTGGCGGCGGGTACCAGGGGGATACCAAGCCCCGCTCATTATTTTCCAGCTCGCCGGGCAGCTGATTTCTGTCTCAGCTACGGGGCTCAGCGGCGTTTCCTGCTCCGACAAACGGCCATTCGTGTTAAAGCAGCTCCGACTTTCATCTAGCGTTGTATAAACGGTGACATTCCTCAGTGACTGTGTGACATGTGACATCCAGTTTGTAAAATTCTAGTCTGTGTAGTGGTCATTATATAAAATAACATTAAAAAAACAATTGTATGAATCATTTTGTTTGATTGTTTCTGACCCTGAGTGGGAAGACATTCCTTTGCCGCATGAATGCGGACATATTGCACATTTTGAACCACTGCTGGTGCTATAAACTGAATCCCCCAAAGTCTTTCAGTGTTCATCCTCTGGGCAACACGATTATCTGAACCGCATCTCATGGAATTCCATCAAGTGGTTGTTGATGTATTTCGCTCACAAAGCACAAACGTCAAACTGCTCATGGCGCCAGAGGAAAAGTCAGAGGTTCGCTAAAATGATTCGGGGTTCATCTCCTGGGGACCATCAATGCTAAATGAAGACACAATGCTGCAGGGTGATATATGAATGTATAATTATTGGATCAGGGAATTCTTCAAGCTTACTTCAACTCTTATCATTTTAATAAATCATGTGTTCCATAATGTTTCTTCACGTTTTCACGACAGATATATAAAAGTACTAAATAACAAACAACTAATATCTCAGTTAGAGGTTGAAGTCCAAAGGGTTCCATCATGTTCTGCCCTTCACTGACTGAGAGGTGAGGAATGGAAAGGGACAGAAGGACGGTCGAGTGACGGAGCCAAGTTGTGATGACACAACAGTTGCTGTGATGCGGTTGAAGAGGTGAAAAAAAAAGTGCTGGGACAACGTGTGAGATGCACAATTCAATAGTGTGTTGTTGTTGTTGTTTAGGATGACACAGAGTGATGGATTGCCGAGGCTCACTCTTAACCTATTTACGGCCCAAATAAACAGATACCAGAAACAAAAGAGGAAATGGGGAAAGAAGGGAGGAGAGGAAATGAAGATGAGGGAGGAATGGCAGTTATTTGTAGCTGGAACATGATGGAGGGATAAGAGGGAGAGAAAGGAAGGGAGAGGCATAAACAGGAAGGACGGCTTCAGTCTAACTACTTCTTCTGAAATGTTTACACAATTGCAAAGTAGGTTAATATAAGGAACACATGACTGTATTGTAAAAAGTCCACCTAATTCCATTCCACCCAGTATTTAATTATTTAGGCATCAAAATTGATGAAGCAGATTTAGAGAGATTGTTTATTTGTTCACACATTCTCCCTCCATGTCAAAATCAGGTGCTTATATTACCCACAATGCAACATGACCACCTGTTCGTTCTGGCATTCAGATGTGTGTGTTTTTACTTTTCACTTTCAACAGACGCAGACTCAAGCTGCATCACTTGGGGACATCCGTGAGACATGACGTAGATGCAGCCACTCAGAGCTTCAGGCTACGTGCGGTAGATCACCACCGCCTCTGTTTATTGCATCACGCAAGACGGATTTTAGGAAGAACGTACAGATGTTTTCTCCTCACTCGATTACTAGTAAAGAACCTCATTGCGAACTGTGATGATGCTGCATCATACGTACAGGCAGTAAAACTGAACTCCTGCTGCTTACGCCTGTAGTCTGTTCACTCCCTCGCTGTCACTCAGGATGTTAGCTGCTCTGAGTTACGTCTCATCTCTCGTGCCGTCTCTTCTTCACTGTGATCTTCTTTCCACCTTCAGTGAGTCCACCTCCCCATCTAAGCTCTTTAGATCTACGTAGAGTTGGCAGCTTGGTTCCAATTATCTGCCGTGTTTTACCTGATGTTTGGAACCGCCACACAGGAGCCACATGAGGAGAGACGTCAGCAGAGGACAAGTCCGGAGTTTGGGAGGACTGAGGACAGGGTGCCGGTAAACAGACACGCGGCCCACTGATGGAGATTAAACAGTGTGGCGGCTTAACGTGAGATAGGGAGCGAGGGAGAGCCGGCCGGCTGAACATTTAGAGAGTCGGAGAAAGGAGAGTGCAGCTGGAGGGTGACGAGGAGAATAAAGGAGCTCGTTGGAAGTGGAAGGCTTGATTGAAGAGACCTGGATGTCTATGAGCATGAATAAAGAAAAAACTAATGCACGTCCGTTTCTTTAGCTCGCGGTCGCGATAGCGTCCACGGCTGCAGCGTGGATGCTATCTGCCCACAGTAGCAGCTTTTCATTTCGGCAGACGCACAACCCCCCCCCCCCCCCCCCCCCCTCCCCCCTCTCGTGCATTATAAATGCCCCATTACAACTTGTTGACGTGGATTCTGGGGCCCAGCGGCATGTTGACGGGCCGCTCTGCAGACAAAACATTGGGTTACATCTCGCTCACATGGTGTGCTCCCCCCCAACCGGTCTGAACCCCCCCCCCCCCCCCCCTTCTTGAGCTGCACGGGCGACCCAACTCCAACGGGTTAATCTGGTGCTGCCGAAGCCGGACGGGGGCTTTGTTTGGCTACGTCTGCCGGCCACACATTTACGCCTCCCATCGGTGGAGCGCAGCAGGGAGTGGCGGGGGCCGGGCCGGCCTCTGATTGGAGGAGATGGAAGGCCACGCCAGCTGGCAGTCAGCGGAGGCCGGACAGCCGGACTCAAGTCGCACAGATCGGAGTGACAATAAAGCGCTGGCGCACCCGGGCTGCTCGATCTCCTTTCAGAAACGCGTCTGTGCATGGCAGCATGTTTGTGTGTGTGTGTTGTGTGTGTGCTATTCTAGACGGGGGGGGGGGTCTTACTTTAAGCAGATCCTTGTGAAAGTCTTGGCCGTCGTTCAGTCCTTCCAGGTTGCCAATGAAACTGCGAGCACGACATCCTCTTTCCAATGTTCTGAAAAAAAGAGCGAAATCAGAATGTCCTTCTCCAAACAGCACCCCCCCCCGCCCCTCACACACACACACACACACACACACACACACCTTCTCTGGAATCTATCTCCCCAGACACCCCCCCACCCTTCGGACCTACTTAAACCTGTGATGCATAGTTATGTAATGTACTTCTCTTTTTATGGAGATATGTCACACCATCATGTATTGTTATGGTTGTTATTGTGTTCAACATGTAAAATGCCTTTTGAAGCACTATAAAATAAACCAATTATTTTTATTTTTTATTATTTTTTTAATTAATATTCGCACATAGCAGAAGAAGTATTTGCACAATTTATTCATTAGTAAAAGTAAATTTAAAGGATGTACCTCTGGATGCTGTTGATGAAGCGCTATTGTTTCACAGAATACATCCTCGTTTACTCTTCAATATTTCACATATTGAACAATGTGTTTTACAGCAACTTGTGTCGAGACAAAGTTTGATAATTAGAAGCACAAGAAACACAAACCAGCAAATCTGTTAAATGAAAAACGGGTATAGAAACCTTCTCAATAACAGATCAGTATCCCTAGATATCCATAAACAAAAAAGTACTTAATAATAGCATGTTCAAGCTTCTCAAATGTGAGGATTTTAGATTGAACTTCAAACAAATAAGCAATTTGAAGACGCCAAATGAGGCTCGGCACTATTGCAGAAATGATTGCTGGATTAATGAAGACATTGAGGCTGGTAGTGATGAAGATCGCAGTCACAACAAAGATCAAACTCACAGTGTATCTGCTAACATCTGTTGAAGCTGATCTCCTGTCCGCCCACCTCGACAGGCACTTTAATTAATCATTCATCCGCAGCAGAGCTGCACTATCACCGCCAGAGGACTGGCCCAGATTTACAAAAGGGAGGCTCTGACTGTGAAAGTAGCACATTGAGATGGTGGAAGAAGCTCAGCAGCAGGCCTGCAGATCAGCTGCTGATCAGCTGCACAGCAGCTGCAGATCAGGATAATATTCCCAAAACTCCAGAGGGAATCAAAAGGTAATCTGAGGATATTGGAAGCTTCTAAAACGTATCTTTTAGCGGTTTATCTGTACTCATGTGTGTATGTACACAAATATGTACGCATGGATGCATGTGCACTTACATGTACAGATGCCTCATCTATGTGAGCAGATGTTACTCACCTGGCCGTGAAGATCGGTGTTGAGCAGCATCAGAGCGCAGGTGAGAGTGTGAACTGCATCTACAGGATGAACATGAATACATTTTTAAGGCAATAATGCAGAGCATTGCCTATTATTGCCTGTATATTAAACTATAGAGCAAAAGTCATTCTATTGACAAGGAATACATTGTAAAGTGCGCTTATTGTAGAGCACATATGTATTTTCATCTATTTGTCCCCAGTGCCAAAATGATAGAAAAAATAATGAGAATATAAGCAATAAATATCAGTGGAAAGGATATTATTATATGTGAGAGCAAAGTTAATATTGAACCAAAACACAACGTGAAGCACTTTAAAAATGAGCAGAGCTACAGATGAATCACATCATTGTATTATAATAATATTTGTTATATACACAGTATATATATATCAAGTTATTATAACAAGTTGATTATTCTCACTAACATATTAAACACACCACTCACCCTCTGACGGCATGGCTTTTGGGTTGCAGTCCAAGTAGCGCTTAGAGAAGTGTGACAGCACCCTCTCCCTCTCCTGACTCTCCCCCATCAGGGCGAACTGCCGGAGGAAAGTCCTGCAGCCACCAACACAACGACAGTCACATGGTTTCAGAAATAACCGTTTCATTTTGATCTATGAGCAGTGATACCGTGTAAAGGTTGTTGTTCTTACACTAAGGTATTTTATTGTATGTGAATTAATAACATTTGAATTACTAATCATTCTTTTTATGTAATCAATTATAATGAGTTGCAAGTGGTAGAAAGTATAATTTGTTTCAGTGTACTCGAGTATTTCTATTTCATGCTATTTTCTATTACATTTATCTGACAATTTGTAAAGTACTTTCAACTGATAAAATATGATGTATTACAGAATAAACTACCTGATATGAATTAGCTCAGGCTCTACTTAGCTCAAGATCAACAATGTTAAAGCACCGGCAATAATAATTAATAATTAATATATTTAATGCTGTAATGTGCCAGGAGTCTGCATAATACACACCACTTTTAATTTAGATAATTGATATACAATTTGCTGAATGCCAACGCTGCCCTCTAGAGAGCAGCGTTGGCCAGTGCTTCTCTTTTCTTTTCTTAATTAAATGCTAATCTCGCAATTATTTTATGTGATGAACAAACAAGCATTTCTGTATTCATGTGTATTACTGCACTGTGTGTTCTCACCTCAAAGCCTGGTCAATAGAGAGGCTCGTGAAGTTGAAGAAACTCAGATACTCTTCTGCTACCATACGGCTGAAGTCATTGCTGGGGGGGCGAGAAAAGAAAAGAAAATACAAGGAAAGCGAACGGGAAAAAATACAACCAGCAAAAAAGCTGTCATTCACACGTTGCTGGCTCGGTTTGGGCTGTCGGTCCGTGAGCCGGAGACGCAGACCGCAGGCCGGAAAAACAAAAACAAAAGAGGCAGAGGAGGAGATTCCCGCGGTGCGTGTGTCAGGGGGTGCAGAAACCCTTTCATCCCACATTCTCATCAGCGCCAGCACGCCGCCGACAGAGCGAGGGGCTCGTGGAGCACAACGCAGATGTAGTACAGCGCAGCCCTTTGTAGGCAGAATGTGAAGTGGCGTACAGTAAGTGTACAAGAAACTGGATGTGCACCCGAAGATCCAGCATTCATTAACTAAACATGAGAGGCAGTAGAAAAGAGGGCACGCTAAGGCCTCTTCTTCTTTAACAGGCTTGCTTTTATGTTTTCATTAAATAACATGCTTTGTTCTTGATCTTCTGCTTTCTTTTAGCCCCATCTTGTCATTTGAAGCCACGACACAAAAAAAAAAAAAAAAACACGCCGTTTGCTCACTTCTTGCTGAGGTGTCGCGCCACGTCGGGACTTCCGGAAGCCGTCCAGGGTGAAGAGCCGCTTGGTCCAGCCGCCGGGCGGCCGCTACGTCGGCCCGCCGGCTGCCGTTGGTGAGGTGTCGCTGCTCTCCAGAACCAGCCGGTCGCTGAGGTTCTGGTCCGGCTCCGAGTCCGTCGCAGACGGGCCTTGTCCCGCTGAGAGGGTCAGGAGGGGTGAAGGCAGGAGTGAAATAGTTATTAAAAAAAACACAGATATATACGGACCTAAAATAATGATGGGAAAGGGAAAAATCCTCAAAGTGGGACAAATTACATGGGTTTGTAAATTATTGAAAAGCAAGGACAGAAGGGGATAAAAGGAGGAACAAAGAATGATGGTGATATAATAATAAAACTATAACTCTGCTGTATCAATAATTTAGCACTAAAATCTGATCTGTGCAGCTCTGATCTTAAATTCCAGCTGCACAAAAAGTGTTAAGACTAGAATAAGAATACACAAGCGGGAGATGAAAAGAGTGAAGCTAATCAAGGGAAAGTACCTTAACAGGAAATATAAATATCTGACATACATATATATATGTATGGTTATAGAAAAGTATTGAGAATGACAAGGAGAGAAGAATATATGCAGTAGTAAATCTCTGTTTACATTAATTAAGTTCACAGTATCACAGAATGCACGCAAATTATTTACTGTAACTGTCCAACAATATTTCACATGATTATACACGTCACAAATCTCCTCTTTCGCCAGCTTTCCTGTTATCTCTCCCTAATTAGGCCCCTTCAAAGCTTAAACCAGTTCAGAAATGCAAGACTTATTACATCTGAATTGGCCCTGTGATAATATTTTAAGCACGTTATGTCACAGTGAGATGAAAGAGAGCTACTTTTCTGGCTTGTAGATTACAGAGACTACTCTGAGTTGGCGATGCTCAGACTTTGGCATGATGCTGACCTTCATTGATGCTGTCGAGAGCCGTGTGATTATTCTGAACTGATGATAAAAAAACTAAGACAGTTTTTTTCCAGAAAAGCAAGACACGCTTCCTGAACAAGCGGAGCTCTCATTTGGATTTCTCAGCTTGAGGAACAAGCCAAGAAAAACCCTCAGTTCCGGGGCTTAAGCTTCCCACGCTCACACAACCTTGCATTGTAAATGAGTCGAAACAAATCACACCCGAGAGTAATTAATAACAAAAGCTGATCGGGTGCGAAAGCTAGGAGGGTGCAACGGTCCGCTTTGGCTTAAAAAAAGTACACGGGAGAACGAGAACAATGTCTAAAGGTTTCTGAGAATGAACTACAGATACAGAAACGCTATCATCACAAAGGCCACTGCAGGCTCCTCTGGGGACCATGAATGTGGGTGAAAAATGCATGACAATCCATGTGGTAGTTGCAGAAATAGATAGAATTGCCTGCTGCTCTCGGGTTTTTGACTGAATGTGTCTCACAGACACCTCTGGGAGACCATCCGTCAACACTGTTTCATAACGGAGGCGCACTTTGCCTGTCTCCTGTCCCTCTATTCAAAGCATGTGATGCACTCGCAGACCGGTGAGACGGGTCCCTGGAGGTGTGCTACCTACCTGGGGCAGGGTCGCCGGGCCGGCAGGTAACGGTCCTCGCCACCGGCCGCGGTCGAGCCGTGACAGCAGAAGACGGAGGGGGCCTTCGCGTCCGGGCCCCGACCGCCGGACGGCCGACCGCCGGACGGCCGACCGACCCTCCCCCGGCCTCCGGCCTCGCAAACCGAACGCATCACCGCCGCGGAGGAACACCTGTGTTCTCCCCCTGGAGGCCCAGAGACCTTCACATTCCTCCTCTTGGGTTTGGTCGCGTCAGACTGAGGCTTTTCCTTGTCCTCCCTCTTTCTCACTCTCCCTCCTTGTTTGCTGTCATTCGATCCTCACACCAGCCCCCCTCCATCCCATCCCCATCCAAAAAAAAAGGGTAAAAGAGGTGTTTGCCCTGCAATGCCGACCCTTCTCTGTTGTTTCTCCCTCCAGAGTGTGTTTTCTGTTGTTTCTCTTCCGTCTTTCCACTCCTCCCCCTCTCTCTCCCTCGCGCTCTTTCTTTCTCCCTCCCTGTTCCACTGTGTAAACCCAATGTCCCCTGCTGACCTTGGATTCGAATCATGGCATGAAAATTCCACCTGCTTTCCATTTTCTATTCTCTCCATTCATTCCCATCTTTTTCTCACCGCATCTCCAATTACACACACTCATATGCCACATTATATTCCATCTGGTTTTCGGTGTCTTCAGCACAACAAAGGTGTCGGGTTTGAACTCGACGCGCCCGCTCGCCGTATTCCTTTTTGAACCGTTTCCTCTACCAGCATATCTGCCCGGCCGAGAGGATAGGTGTCCTTTTGTCAACACCTGTGTCCATTGTGGAGTCTGTTTACAGCGTGCGCTTCATCGGGGGGAGCTGCAGGAGTCGATCAAGTTTAGGCCCCGGCCCCCATTGTCATTGTCTCGTCGAGTGTCAGCCTCTTGCTTTAACCACATCCCCCGTTAGATAGTTCAACCTCCTCCCTGTCCAGTGGGCCGCCCGGCACAATGAGCCTTTGTCTAACAGAGCTAATCTAAAAAGGGTGATGTGAGGGAAAAGAAAAAGGAGGAGGAGGAAGGGAGTGAAATTCCAACTTTTATCAAGGCAGGGACTTGGGAAAATATTTGTCTGGTCGCCTCGCTCCTGGACTGCACAGCTCCAGGGTCGGCTGGGCGGGCCGCCAATAGAAATGCGATAAGATTGGTGCTGAGCAAAGTTTTACCGGAACAAGTACGGCTTAATTTTGGCTCTTAAATAAAATACTTTTACTTAAAAATACTTTTACTTAAATAAAATACTTTTATTTAAGCTAGGGGGCAGAAGAAAAAAAATCTGTTTATGCTTCAAGACCACCTATATTTGTGCATGAACCTTTAGAAATAATTTAAATTAGATCAGGTCTAATGAAAAAAACAGCGAGGCTTGTCTGCGGCCATCGTCAGGACTGTGGCATAATCATGGATTAGATTCATATGATAACGAGGAATAGGAAAATAATGGGGATCCATTTGAAGATGGTAAAGTGCATTTACAAAATGCTTTTGTAACAGTAACAGTGCATAACGTAAGCAGTACGTGACGTCAGCATTCTCTGTGGTGTGAAAAGTGAAAAACAAAACAGTAAACTAAAAAACTCTTTATCTGTTTTATTTTTCTATAAACATTATTAATATTTGGATAATGTTAATGTTTTGTTGTTGTGACACCTGACTGATACTCGACTGGCACTCCTCTGACTACTAATGCCACTGGCAGCTTGCGGCACATACTGACACCTACAGATAAGCAGAGGAAGAGCGAAGATATTTTCAGACATTTTATTTTATGGATTTCATGTTTTTACAAATATGCGTTTAAAGATGATAAAACAAATGATTTCTTTCTTTCTTTCTTTTTTTATTCTTTTTGTTATTCTTTTTGTTTCGGTTTTAGATTATTTAATTTAATAATTTAAGATTTCTATCTTATTATATTGTATATAATGTGTATCTTTTTATTCTATTTTCTTCCCTGTACATGCAGCTGTGATACCAAAATTTCCCTCTGGAGGGATCAATAAAGTATCTATCTATCTATCTATTTTATTTGCATTATTTTGTCCAATCGTAGATGGCTCTGGGTACTCAACTAAAATCCCAAAACTTATTCACAGCAGCTGACCTGTCGTAACAACAGCAAAAATAAGCCTCCGCCTTCTCAGCTTGGCAGCTTCTTGACTGCTGCCGAACGAATGTTGCTGTTGTGACGCCTGACAGACGCCTGACTGAAGACTACCACTAGGCTGCCACTAGGCTGTCACTAGGCTGTCACCGGGCTGCCACTAGGCTGCCGCTGAGCTGCCACAGTCCTGACTGCCGACTGCCACAGACTTGCCGTGGCCACTAAGAAGAGCTCGCTGTCTCTCAGAAAAAGAAGCGCCTGACAGCTTGACCGCTGTCCTCTTGCGCCCTCCAGTGGTCCCGGGGACAAAGTGACCCATTGCAGTCACTCTACCTCTGCAGTGCTGTCACAGTGTGTTAGTGTGACATTCACAATTCCCCAAACAAAAGGACCGTAGCAAATCGATCCCGACAATAACCCTCTGATGGTCCTACATATCTTGCAGAAAAGAGGAAGTGCAGTAAGAGAGCTGCAAAAATAATATTGTGCATGCAACATCAGGAGAAAGGGGTTCTCGGTATAAAATACAGTCTCCTGGAAGGCAGGTGGGAGTCTGTGGAGGGTTAAAACAAAAGTCTTTGGGACTCTGACAGTCAAGGTGAGTTCCTTGCTGCTGCAGCAGCCATCTGCCTCTGTCATGCACACACACACACACACACACACACACGCACACACACACACGCGCGCGCACGCAACGCATGCATTGTCAAGTATACAACTGTTCAAAACCAAAGACGCACATGCATGCACACACTTAGACCCACATACACTGGAATATGCACAAATTTACATATTGAACACGCATACATTCTCTCACGCACAGCCACACACCGCAGAGGGATCACTGGCGGAGTCCTAGCGACCTTCACTCTGAAGCTGCTCGGCTCCAGAGTAGCACTGCAGCAGCGCTGTGCACAAGGAGCAGGCCAGAGAGGAGAGAGGCCGGTCGATCTGCAGGCCGACGGCTGTCCACCAATTACAGAATTAACAACAGAAACTCCTGACGTTGGACCATGTTGAATGTGTGTCTTGCTGAAAGCCTTTAGATGAGATTTAAAGTAAGAGGACGACTGTATCCTCGTATACCATCCATCCATCCATCTTCAACCGCTTATCCGGGGTCGGGTCGCGGGGGCAACAGCTCCAGCAGGGGACCCCAAACTTCCTTTCCTGGCCACATCTACCAGCTCTGACTGGGGGGATCCCAAGGTGTCCCAAGGCCAGTGCAGAGATATAATCTCTCCACCTAGTACTGGGTCTTCCCCGGGGCCTCTTCCCAGCTGGCCGTGGCTGAAACACCTCCCTAGGGAGGCGCCCAGGGGGCATCCTCACCAGATGCCCAAACCACCTCAACTGGCTCCTTTCGACGCAAAGGAGCAGCGGCTCTACTCCGAGCTCCTCGCGAATGGCTGAGCTTCTCACCCTATCCCTAAAGGAGACGCCAGCCACTCTCCTGAGGAAACCCATTTCGGCCGCTTGTACCCGTGACCTAGTTCTTTCGGTCATGACCCATCCTTCATGACCATAGGTGAGGGTAGGATTGAAGATTGATGACCGGTAGATCGAGAGCTTTGCCTTCCGGCTCAGCTCTCTTTTCGTCACAACGGTGCTGTAAAGCGAGTGAATACCACCCCTGCTGCTCCGATTCTCCGGCCAAACTCACACTCCATCTTCCCCTCACTCGTGAACAAGACCCCGAGGTACTTGAACTCCTTCACTTGGGGTAAGGACACATTCCCTACCTGGAGTAGGCAATCCATCGGTTTCCTGCTGAGAACCATGGCCTCAGATTTAGAGGTGCTAATCCTCATCCCGACCGCTTCACACTCTACTGCGAAACGCTCCAGTGAGAGTTGGAGGTCACAGACGGAAGATGCCATCAGGACCACAACATCTGCAAAAAGCAGCGACGAGATCCGCAGCCCCCCGAACTGTAGACCCTCCTCCTGACTACGCCTCGATATCCTGTCCATGAAAACCACAAACAAGATTGGTGACAAGGCGCAGCCCTGGCGAAGGCCAACCCCCACCGGAAACGCCTTCGACTTACTGCCGAGCACCCGAACACAGCTCTCGCTTTGGACGTACAAGGATTGGATGGCCCCAAGCAAGGACCCCCTCACCCCGTACTCCCGCAGCACCTCCCATAGTTTCTCTCGGGGGACCCGGTCATACGCCTTCTCCAAGTCCACAAAACACATGTAGACTGGATGAGCATACTCCCAAGCCCCCTCTTTGATCCTGGAAAGAGTGAAGAGCTGGTCCGTTGTTCCACGACCAGGACGAAAACCGCATTGTTCCTCTTCAATCCTTTGTTCGACTATCGGCCGAAGCCTCCTTTCCAGCACCTTAGAGTAGACTTTACCCGGGAGGCTGAGTAGTGTGATACCCCTGTAATTGGCACACACTCTCTGGTCCCCCTTTTTGAAGAGGGGTACCACCACCCCGATCTGCCACTCTTTTGGCACTGTCCCAGACTTCCACGCAATGTTGAAGAGGCGTGTCATCCAAGACAACCCCCCAACACCCATTGCTTTTAGCATCTCTGGACGGATCTCATCAATCCCCGGGGCTTTGCCACTGCGGAGTTGTTTGACTACCTCAGTGACCTCCACCAGGCCAATTGACGATGATCCCTCCTCCGCCTCCAGCTCCGCCTCCTTGTATACAAATGTTTCATATGAAAAGGCAGCTCTTGCCCCGTTTTAGTGCAGAGTGGAGATGAAAAGAAATCAGAAGGAAATCCAACAACAAACGTGACCCAGATTCCCCATCACTCGGTTCCTCAGCAAATCACTGGAGAACCGTCCGACCGTGTGTCAGCCGTCAGCGCTGTGAAACATTTAACGAAAGAGCCCCTGAACTTGTGTGATTGTTGAACACCTCTCACTTAAAACTGCCTCTCTAACAGCCGGGTCTTTCCACCAGATGTTTGAACTTGCGGCAGGTCCAACAGAGAATACGGCTCATGTTCTACCACTATTCAAAATATAACAATGTGATATAACTCATATAAAACGTCATCACATTGTATTTGGATATTACAAATAGAGCAGTTTACAACTGTAACATGTGTGATATGATATTATATATTATTATATTATAGGATTTAGAAAGACTCAATAATTAGTAGTCGTTTGGGTGACGCTTGGGAAATGTGTCAAGAGGGACAAGCACATGTAATTGGGACAGAATCCGGTCAGGACCAGAGGAGTCGCCTCCTGGTGGACACACGCGAGAATACAGATCTAACACATAAAGCATGTCAACGTTGGGTTGATAGTTTGATTCCATCACCCCCAAGTGGCCCAAATAAAACAGATACTATAACTTCCACAGTAGAATTGCTGGTGACTTCTCGACGTGCTGCTCACCTACCTCAGTAATGAGAAGGACGGGTTGCTGTACCAGCTGCTCCCCAGCTGCGAGCACCCTCGCCCTCTGGGCGGCGTGTCCTCCGAGCCGCTGCTCAGCCTCTCGCTGGACGGCGCCCGGGTGGCGTCCGAGTCCCCCGTCACGGTAAAGATAGAGTCTGAGATGCTGGGCCTCTCGTCGTGGGCAAGCGGGGCGAAGCTGAGCTGCACGATCTGCCTGGCGCTGTGGCAGACCGGCCCGTGGATGGCCGGGGTTAGCGTGGGCAGGTCAAAGGTCAGGACGGTTTGGGCGCTGGAGGTCAGCAGCTCCTCGCTGTCCAGGCTGTTGTAGGACGTGCCTTTGGCGCGGTGAGACTCCATGATGCTCTCGAAGTGGCGGCTGAAGGTGTCCTCAGCAGCGCAGCGGGGCCCGGAGACCAGCAGCGGGGATTTCAGGGCCGGGTGGTGGTTGTCGAAAAACGTTTCCATTGTTCTGGACAGGGATGGAGGGGGAGGGGCTTAAAAAACACGAAAGCGACGCAGATATGTTTGCAAAAAAAAATAAAAAATGTGCAAAGAAACATTCCGACCCGCTGGAGCCCAACGGGGTCCACCAAAGATCACAGGGGGCTTTGATGTTCTCAAAAATAAAATAAACTAACTAAAAATGCAAATAACACCGGGAACCGCAAGGTTGGCGGTTCGAGCCCGGGCAGTACCTGAGCAAGACACCTCAGTCACAAATAGTAAATAGTTCATATTCTGTTTAAACCTGAGGATGTTTGGCTGCGTTTCTTCCAACATTCCCAATAAGGACTTTTTAAAGTCCAGAAGTGAAATCGTGAAAGTTGATTTTAATAAACACAGACCTTTCTGACATTCTGTACTATTATATACCATTTTTTCATGATATATACTGTGACACATTTTAATGAAATTTTACATCCTAGAAGCTTTGCCTTCACTCAGAAGCGGAGATCTAGCCTAAAGGACTCTTAACTATAATTCCTTTATAGTAAAGACCGGAGTGCTGAATAGTGCATGATGCCACCAAACCTACCTAAGAAATGAAGGTTATGATTGGGGTCTAAATTCAGATAAAGATACAGGTTGTGTGTCGTTTCACCTCTTCAGCATGTGTCCAAACACCTCTGGCTCCTCCTGAGCTGCAAACTGCTGCTTCCTATTGTCTCCTTGCATCCTCACACTGGCCCAGCTCACCATTTCTTCCTCTTCCTCCTCCTCTTCCTCCTCCTCATCCTCCTCGCCCCCCACCCCTCCACACAGTCTTCTCTCCTCCTGATGCGCCCCGTCCTCCCTCCCGTAGGCCGGACCCCCCAGCGGGCTGCTGCCCGTCCCCGAGGTCCCCTGAACGCTGCGGTTGCTCCCGAAGGCCGAGTCTCCGTCGTCCAGCTCGGCCAGCAGCACCTCGTCGATGTCCGTCTCCCGGTAGCAGCGCAGCGGGACGGCGTCCAGGTCGGTCTCCGAGTACTTCAGCGTGCGCCGGATGATGCCGGTTTTGGGCGAAGCGCCAACAAAGGCGGGAGGAGGGGTCACCAGCTCGACCTCCACGTCCTGCACCTCGTGGTTGCCGGAGAGCAGGGGTAGGGAGGATGGGGGAGTCGGGGTGGGAGACTCGCTGGAGTTACCGCTGGGGGGCGCGGTGGAGGTCTCCAGGGCATCTGCAGAGGGAGGGATTTAAAAACACACAGCATGTGGTTATGTATTCCCGCTGCTTATTCCCTGTTGTGACGGCACAGAAAACATATTCAGACCATTCATGTGATCTGACTCAGAAACAGGTTTGAAGCCCCCAATACTATTTTGGTACCAACTGAAATGTGAGTAGCAAAGAGAAAGTTGGCCAATTATTGTCAGATGAGAGCTACTATCGCTTGTTTCAGAATATGTTTTGTAACATTAACGGATCTGAACCCACAACCATCAAACTGATCCTTTAACAGCTGAGCTATTGGGACGTTGCACATCTGCATACATCATTCAGTCAGATAATTCCACATTTTGCAGTTTTGGGGCTGATTTTGAGATATGGTTCTGGTCTTTATCTAAAATTAAATGTTTTCTTTCATTTTGTGCCAATCCTCAAATTAAGGATATTGTATTAATAAACTATTTGTATTGTTAAAAGCATTGCGTATGGGGGAACACTATAGCTACATTTGAGCTTATATAATCACATTAAGAAAATTCTTTCTGAAACAGTCTTATGTGGGTTAATAGAACAAAAAACTAGATAAATAGATGAATAATCGATTCGTATTAAAATAATTGTCTCCCAATATATTCCCTAACAAGATGAAATTGAAGAGCGCTTACTTACTTTTCTCCCCCCTGGTAGTGGCCTCCTCCGCTTGGGTCCCGAACAAAAACTCCCACTTGGCACGAGCGATCCTCTGACAATGGAGCGAGGGAACCGGCCCTGCACAGCCACTGTCCGTCTGACAGACACACACACACACACACACAGACGCACAGGGGCAAGGTCAGAGGCTAGAGCTTCACGTGTTCTTGTCTAACTATTGGAATTAAGGCATTTCCCAGAATACCAGAATACTCCTTTAACTCATGAATCATTTCTTCAGTTACTCCATACCTGTATTCCTGAGGTGGCGGCGCCGGTCTCGTTGCTCTGGTGACTGGACTGACTGGACCCGGGCGAACCACATTCCCTGTCCCCCAAGCTGCCCGTCACCCCGCTGGAGCTCCGCGAGGACGACCCTCCCATTGCTACATTCTGCTCCGCCTCTGCCGGCTCCTCCACCCTTTGTCGTTCCCCTTCGTATCCCTCAGTCTCGTCCCCCTGGCCTTCCTCCTCGCAGCCCTCGTCTTCCTCCGGAGAGTCCAGTGCCACCGGCCCCAGGAGCAGGATCTCCCTCCTCCTCTGCTCCGCCCGTTTCTGCTGGGCGGTGGGACTGAGCGGCCTGCGGTAGGCCTCGGGTTGGCGGTCGGGAGTTTGGTCACCGCCGGACACAAACCCGGCCTCGTGACTCGGCCTCGGGCTGCTCTCCAGCTGGCTCCCCCACTGCTGCCTGGAAGTCCAGCTGACCGGCGCCACCTCAACTCCCTGGTTGATGAAGAGTCTGCGAGCAAGCTCAGTGCAGTCCCCGCGTTCGAAGCCGCTCAGGTGCTCTCTCTTGTCCAGGCCTAGGGACCAGGAGTCCCTGGCGCACCACGGGAGCCGCCGGCGGTGCAGTGTTGGGGTGTCCGGTGCCCGGAGCTCGGCCTGGAGTAGCCTGGGGTCCCTCATGGGAGAGCTGAGCTCGGTGGGAGGATGGGAGGCCCGGAAAACGCGTGAAGGAATGGCGGGGGAACCCGTCGGGCTCGGGCGCTGGGACCTCCAAACACAGTCCTCCCGCCGCATTTCATAGTTGGCGCGGGAGTTTGTTTTGTGCAACGTCAATGTGGAGTTTTCAGGCTGGTGCGAGTTGGTCGTTGTAGTGGCGTTGTCCGTTGCTGCCGTGTGTAGGTCGTTTAAAGGGATGTTCATCTTAAGTGTCGGCTTGGACTGTTGTGCGTTGGGAGCTGAGTTATGAAATTCTCCGGTGGGATCCCCTAAAGCGTTGTGCAACAAGGACCCTCTTTCCCCTGTAAGAATGGAGGATACTTTGGTGGCCTCCTCCGCTTGCCTGCCGGCGACATCGGGGCTGTGAGCAGGAGAGGAGGATTTACTGTCACTTAACTGGTTCAAGCCCTCCACTACATTATTGCCAAGTTGGGGGAGTGCTGCTTGTGGTGAAGTGCTGGACCTGTGGACGTGTCGTTTGACAGCTGGACTTCCTGCCAGGGGGCTATTGGAGTCGACGGACTGGGAGGACAGCTGGTCTGACGCCGGGCTCCGGGGAAGTCCGCAAGTGGCCTGGCTCCGGTCCGGGAGGTGGTCTATGAGGTTAGCGCTGATGCTCTGGCGCTGAACGGGCGACCCGGACCAGGGCTGCTGGTTGTAGCGTGAGGACGCCGATTGCTCGAGGGCGTGCGCTAGTTTGATCCGCAGCAGAGGGGAGCCAAACTCCTCAACGGCCCTCTGGGTAGCTGCTCTGCCAATGGGGTCCAAGGCTGGTTGGCGAACGCCAGGAGGTCTGAAGGTCAGCTTGGGACTGGAGCTGCACGATGAGTCGGGGCTCCCACACCAAACCGGGTCGCTGAACCTTTTACGGTAGTGGGATGGCGTGGATCTTTCCTCTCGGGTCCCCCGCTCGCACAGAGAGCTGCGCGGACTGTCCATCGTTCTCACGTTGGACTTCTCAATGTAACCGAAGGTGACAACGGACCGCGTGCCGTCGCCGACTTTGCCCCCGCTGAACCCACGGCAGTTCAGCGGCGTGTGAGGGGCACTGACTTTCCCGGACGAGGACATCATCGGTGGGGATTGGACAACGGATGGCCAGTCGCTGCCGTGCTTGGGGGACGAGGAGGGGCCGCCGCCGCCGGCCGGCTGCAGCTGGACGCCGCCTCTAGAAGGAGACCGTTTGCGTTCCTGAGCCAGTCGGTGAGCCGCGGATGACTTGGCAACGGCGGTGTGGCTTGCAAGCTGAGACAGGAGCTCCGCCGGGCCGCCCTGGACCGAACGCCCCTGAGCGATCCCCTCCTTCCCGCCACTTTGATCCGTGGCAGACCTCACTTCCACATACAAATGAAGGAGTTTCCCAGACTGGGACATGTCACCTCCTCCCTGGTCCCAACGAGAGACGGGAGAAACAAAAACAAGAGCTCTTTTTGTTTGGTAGTTTTTTTCTGCTGGTGGTGCGTGTCAGTTTATTTTTAGGCGGTCTTTCTCCTCCCTCCCAGAATGTCTGTGTGCGGAACAGAGACACACAGGCTGAGCGGCCAGAGGACAAACATGCCCGAGGGACACCTGCAGCAGCTCCCTATTCTTCATACCTGTGAACGAGAAGAAAAAAAGGATCTGTTATCTAGTGTCCTCAAGAGACCCAAGACCCAAACAGGATACAGTATTTGTGAGTCACGCCTTGACTTGTTGTGATACAAAAGAGCTCAACTAACTCACTTTAAGTCGCTAACAGCAGTACAATGAAGCAGGTTCTTTTTGTTTTTTACTGTTGAAATTAATTGAATACTTCTTGCGGCTCCAAGAACAACATCCTCATTTCTCAGAAACATCTTCATCAAGGCAAAAGGAAGCCGTCTCAGGACCCAAGCTGCGACTCTCCCTCCTCGACCCCCGACTGGTGTTCCCGTTTAAGTTTTTTTTCTGTAATGCACTGCGGATAAATAAATAATGTTATTCTAACAACTTTTGCCACCTCTGCGTTTGTCATGCTCTTATCTTTCTGTCGTTCTCACACCTCGGAGCTGCCGTTCCCACAGATGCACCATTCACAAAATGGAGGCCTTTGTCCAGCTGTAGGTGGCTCCGCAGGGCTCCATTGTCCGTGAAGGTGTGAGGAAGACGAGGAGGCTCCTCGTCGGTATCATTTGCTAACACAAAGAAAGAAGACTTCCACTAAAAGCGTCTTTTTTTAATCTCTATGAGATATACTAATAGACTGTACAGAGCTTTTCTACTCTTCTGACCACTCAAAGTGCTTTAACACTACATGTCATCATTCACCCATTCAGGAGCTACATAACCGCCACCTGCCCATCAGCAACTAACATTCACACAGCAGGTACTGGGACAAGGACACATCGTCATGCACACTGATAACAAAAACAAAATTAATAATAACTATGTTATCATAACTGAATCGCTTTCTCATAGACGTCTTTATGTTGGCTTTGATGAAGTTGTGTTGTTTGTTCCTGTGTTTTCAGCTTGATGGGTTCAAGCACTCGGCTACATGATAAATGTGTTTATCTGCTGGAGCGATGGATCCGCCGGGACCGCCGTTACTCGTGATTGACCTCCACTTGGAGGAAGTCGTCGAGAGGATACGTTATCGACCCGGGGGAAGGGCTGATGGGCCTGAACTTCATTTGATCCATTAATTCTTCGTCTGAGACGGACGTTGACGGGAGCGAGAGGCGAGATAAAGACGGGTGAGAGGAGGAGCGCGGGAGATGGATGTAGAGCAAGAAACAGAAAGAGAGAGGAGCTAGATGGAGGGCCGGCTGAAAGCTTCACACATGTGAAACAGACGGTGTGGTGACAACACTCTGAGTGAGATGGAGACAGAGAGAGGACCAGTTCCCCTAAAACTTGAAGGGACACATTCATCTACTGACTATAATGTCATCGAAGCACAAAGTTTATAGTCTGGTAAAGATACCAGAATAAATACTTGGTGGCGACAACATCAGAATATGAAACCTGTAAAGTACAGAAGCTCGCTGTCTGAAATAGAGAGAGACGGAGACGGACATTTCACTGTTCTTCCCTCATCCTCTTGTTGTCCTTCTGGGTCACAAACATACAAACGAATAAACTAGATGCGGTCTTTGTCTGAGTTAAATGATCCAGGTAATTAAACCCCAGGCAGCATGCGATGCGCTAAAAATAGCTCCATGGGCGAAATGCTAATATTAGCTCTCTGCATGTTGTTGCCGCTGTGCACTGACAGCTAAAGCTGCAGCAACACTGTGCAGTTCTATTTGGCAGCACAGTGAAGAGTGTCACACCGGATCCCCGATCATCCACTGACGACTACTGTTTTCACGTAATATCATATTACATCACACTGTGTACAGGGGGCTCCGAAAATATGACCCAGCCCGACGAGCCTCCCCTCCGTGGCTCTGGTGATAGGCAACCGTCTTTAGTGGGGGAGGAACTTTTATAGCTGTCTCTCCATCCACATTCAGGGCAGATAGAGATGGGTCCCAAGACTCATGCAGAGGAGAGTGTGAGGACAGAGATGCAGAGAGGGAGACATGTCCACGCTCCTTGTACAACTCCTCTGTTCACGACCTTGCACGCAAATGTTAAAAACTCGTGCCAATTCTGCTCGGATGGCAGCGGGTGGGATAACAGGCAGCCTCGCTCTCACTGCCGTGAGCCTATTTTTAGTCGGCTGTGGGATATTTGAAGGGAGAAAATGTGCCTTTTTTGTGTTGTTCACAAATATGCTGAGAGCATTTTTAAGTTGAGTTGTCAAAGACTCACCGAGCCAAAAAGAGTTCAAACATAATGACAAGCCGGAGAAACATTTCTGACAGAGTAAATACATTTACTTACTGAATTACTAAAGGCTTTATTTTATGAAGGAAATCCATCATAAAATTTTTTTATTTGTTTGCTTCTTTTAATAATTTAAATGAGTCCTCAGAGACTCACTGAGATGTGACCAAGACTGGGCCCTTCAGGCAAATGCTCAATCCTTGATGCTGTTGTGCACGGATTCAGTGAGGACGGCAGACGCAAGAAAGCAATGTAAGTCAGCTTGGTCGGGAAAAAAAAAGGAACATGGCGGCAGAGAAGTGTCAAAACTCAAAGCTTTAAAAAGGTATTCTGGCAGTTTTCTGGGATGTTTGTGCTGAATTTGAATGTGGACTTATTGATTGAATCATTTACATGTTACAAACTCTGCAATTCATATGCTGACACATTTGACCAATGATCAGGGTGCATAATTATGACCCATTTTATTTTGAGAGACTTAAACGCGCTGACGTGACCATGCCCCAAGTGTTCCTGAGCAAGACACATAACCCCCTGATGGCTCCCTGGGCAACAGTGTAAAAAAAACATGGGTTAAAAATGCAATGCAGTCAAAAAGTCATTTTGGATAAAAGCGTCAGCTAAATGACTTGTTATAATAAATACATGCAGCCCTTCATTTCACACACACAACACTGAGGGGACCTGCTCTATTCTGACAGCCGTTTCCCATGCCTACCAATGTGCACATCTGGAGCATCTGTATTGTGGTGCTAAGCTGTCCCCCCCCCACCAGCTAGCAGCAGTGAAACCAGAAGAACACACTGACAGCTGCATTCCGTACAACAGACACATCACAATCTCACCTCTCACGAGGCAAGATTCACACCTCCCACATGGTCGGTCTTTGGCTCATTCTTCCCTCCAGCAGAGCGGTGCAGACCCTTCCTGCAAGCTTTTCCTCCCCCGGCCAGCAATGCTAACCCTCAGCCAGTCAGCAGGCAGAGTGTGCCGTTGCACCCCCCCTACCCCCCTATTGCCTCTTTCACATACATGCTGAGTCAGTGTGGAGAAGTCAGGGTGGGGAGGTGCTGCAAAAAAAGGAAACGTGCATGAAGACGGTTGGGGGGAAAATGCTTTTAAGCTACAAAGTGGACCGGTTGTGGGACGCAGGTCAAAATGTTACTTTATGGGGGTTGTATCTTTTTTCTTTTTCCATACGCGTGGGCCCAAGGAAAAAGGATCTTTTCTACTCTACAGATTGCAAATTCGCTCTATGAGGTGGCAACCGTGAGGTTTGAAAAGTGAAAGTTTCATGTGTTGAAGCTGCATTATCTCTGGTGGCCACTAGGGGGCCTCTGGTCCTATAGAAGTCTATGAGAAAATGACTAGTTAGTTGGAATGCTTTAAGCATTCCAAGTATTGTTCTTCTAATCTTTATTTCAACTTATTAGTTGGAATGCATTGAGATGCATTCCAAGTATTGTTCTTCGAATCTTTATTTCAACTTATTCTTATTCTATTTCTTCCGCGGCACCTTTCAACTGCTTCCCATTTTCAGCTATTAAAACCGTTCAAATATTAAAATGTTCAGCTCCTTTCTGGCTTGAGGGCTATGACTTTTCAGCTTTCTACCTCTTATGCTTGAATTTATATAAATCAATAATCATTAATATTTTAACATGGTTTTCAAATGGAGTTTGCTTTTAAATCCTCCTAAACTTCTTCAACTTTCAGATTTTTCAGCTTCGCAAATCTTTCAGCTACAGACACCATTTCAACTTTCAAATGTTGACACAAGTCTCAACTATTTTATGAAAAAAACTGCTTGTTGATATCTATTGTACTTTTTTCATAATCACTGATTATGTTTCACTAGTTCTTCGCTCCGTTTCTGACTTTTACATGAGTGTGTATTGCGTCTGCTAGAGTGGGGAGCTCCAGGCTAGAGTGTGGGGCATCTTAGGAATCTGGTTAAAAAAGTATGGAACTTCTGTCCTTGCAGCCAAAGTATACACTCTAGAGGCTTCATTTCTTCAGATTAATGAGGGTATGGTTGTGCTGATTGGATTAATGCTTTCATGGAATCCCAGAGTTCTTTAGTTTTGGCGCAAGGAGTGTTTGAGTGACACAACCTCTGCCAAAAGCCCCATAGGCTCCAATACAAATCTGCCGACATATTTCTCACAAAAATCCACAAGGTACACGTTTTGTAAACGGCCATAGGAGCCGTATTTATTACCGGACAGACATAAAAAGCACATCCACGCGTTCGGTAGAGTCTTGGGTCTCATACAAACGCCGTATTTTTTAGATAGCTGTTATAGTTTTGCGCTGGTTCTCATTTGTGTGAGGTGTGGATTCTGTGTAACTTGCTGCCATGTCTCTGTCTTTTGCAGCAGATCGTTAATGATCACAGGTGCGGCGTTGTCGTGGTTACGAGCACTCACATGCTGCAGGATCTGTCTGTGGCTCACAGCTGCTCCTATGACCTGATTAGTGGAGTCACATGACGCAGCTATGCTTTCTGTCAACAGACCAATATGATAAAGACACTCGCCCCCCCTCCCCCCTCCACCCTGACCTCTTCTCACTGTTAATCACTCTCAGTCAGTCAGTCTGTCTAATTCTCCTCCCCTCTCCCTCTCTATCTCTTCCTCACCACCCCTCCATTCCTCACCCTCTCACCCTCCCTCCCTCTATCTACACCCCCCCACCCCACCAAATCCAATAGGTGCGCCGTTGTCGTGGTTACTCGCTCACACGCTGCAGGATCTCTGTCTGTGGCTCAAAGCTGCTCCTATGACCTGATTAGTGGAGTCAC